CCTTGAGGGTCTTGATTAAGGTTAAGATGAAACCCTCAGGGATCATTGCTATTATCGGGCGCGATGTGCAAAATTAGCGCCTTCCACAACCAGGAAATCAGATTAGATTGGGTAATTTTGTCTTAGGAGCGAGCGAAAGGCGGAGAGGTGCAAACAGAAGAACGTGTGATAACTGTGATTGCCGTCAGGCATAGTTTTTATAGCACCAAGAGGACATGCGTCTGTTCATGTATCTGGTAGCGTGGTGTAGGGGTTAATGCACTGATCGGAAGTGTCTAAGTTGGAGTCCCGCTTGGACGATTTTTGTTTCCTGATGCCTATCAATTGCTGGCTGTACGATCCGTTATCCAAGCGCGCCGGGGCTGACGCATGCAAGCAACAGAAAAGGACTGCGTGACCCTGCAAAGTAGGCGCGACGGAGCAGCTTACAGGCAAAACAGTATGCTTCAAACCATAATCATACTGAAACCGAATCGGTTGGCAACGAGGAAAATATTCGTTTTGGGGTGCGACTTATCCCGTGTATGTTAGTAGTTTTAATGGCAGATCAGAGGTGACCAGACGGCGTATGACATGGAAGCCCGGGTTGTGAGTTCGGATTCGTTGGGGCTAATGTCGTACTCCACCGTTACCGCCTTGTCGGGTGTGTTTCGTGGAGAGCGCGAGGCCGACATCTGTCGACATAAGTAAGAGAAGTGTGTTCTGACTGAAGTCTGAGTTTCCTCTTGCGACACAAAAAAGTTTTCAGGAGCCGAACATTGTTATACCTTGGCATGTTGTCACCAAGCCAATCGAATAATCCCTAATGTTTCGTCTTTCTTGACTTCTGTGGCTCTGTTAAGCCGTCACGCATACGTCAAACCCAGTGATAACAATTATCAAGATAGTACGGTACCATTAAGCAAAATAGTAAAGAATAAACAATGTAAAAACCTCAACAATGGATACACAATGTCAAGAATAAGGGGGTCGGCCAAACCGCCTGACTATGCAAGGGAACAACACGAGTTCAACCGCCACTCAGGGCGAAACCAATCTTGGGAGAGTGTGTGTATATTAGTGAAAGAGGGGCGTGGCTCTACTTTAATATAATTTTGGGAGGCAATTCATGTGGCATCAGGATTGGTCTGAAATGCCAGGAGGGGGGTGTGTACAGAGACGATACTGCGCCGGCAAGGGGGGTGGCGATCTTAGTGGTTCTCAGAGCAGTCGTGACTAACTGGGTCAGGGAGGGAGCGGACAGCTGGCTCTCTGTCGAAAAGTTACTTCACGGGTCTTTATCT